GTGTGTGTGTGTGTGTGTGTGTGTGTGTGTGTGTGTGTCTGTGTCTGTGTGTGCGTGTGTGAGTGAGAGTGTGTGTGTCTGTGTGTGTGTGAGTGTATGAGTGTGTGTGTATGTATGAGTGTGGGTGTGTGTGTGAGTGTGAGAGAGAGAGAGAGAGAGAGAGTGTGTGTACCTGTTGATGGCTCTGGCCTGGACAGTAGTGAAGGCGAACTTCTCGATGAAGAAAACTCTGTGTGTGGAGAAACGCAAACATGATTTAAACTCATCCATCATCATCTCACACGCACACTCCTTCACATTAAGTGCACATTCATATGATCTCCATTTTAAAGTCTTTACAGTTGATTTTCGATATGAACAGGAAAGAAACTCACTGGCCCAGTCCAATAAATGGGAAGATGGCCACATAATAGGCCACACAGATGATGAAGATGAGCCAGAGAGAGAAGGGAAAGTCCTTGACATCCGTCAGCTTGATGACTTCCCCTACATGACACACACACACACACACACACACTTCTGTAAAACAGTGTCTGACGGGACAGATGGCAGCCAGACTCATGAACGTCTGCTCTGGATCATCTCACCGGTTTTGCCCTGCTCCTTGTGGAGGATCTTCTCTGCTCTTCTGTCCAGAAAGCCCAGAATCAGAGCACATGTGAGGGAGAACAGACACGTGGACGCCGCTGAGAAACACCACACAGCGTTAACTCAGACCAAACACATCACAAATTACATGACATCCAAATGTGCGTTGGCATGTTAGACACGGACTGTATGATAAGTAGCTCTGTCACAGCATGATTCAGATGATAAATAAAACCCAGGCCTCAGCACGCAGGCCTCCACCGGGGTTAAAAACAGGCTTATCTGACATTAAAGCTGAAATATGAGCTGATACACCAGAGAGGAAAAGAAACATTCAGTGATTTAGTTCACAAAAGACTCAGAAAGACGGAACAAGGCAAACAAAAGCAGAAGTGAAACACGAGCCGTCGAGAAGCACATCTCATTTCACAACAACATACTGAGACGACCGACTGCATGGCAGAAATAAAACCGTGTGTGCAGACTAAGCACTGCATGAAGATTACCCATCAGTTCACAGACACGGAACTCACAAACAACAACTTCTAGCTTGCAAGTAACTAGAGAACTGTGCGTTCAATGCATAAAGCCTTCAAGATATTTCTAGTTTTTTTTTTTTTTTGGATCTGGCTGATTTCCAGGGTTAGGAATCCCCATTTGGAAATCCTCTGATATTTGCGAGGGTTCGTAAGGGCTCTCACCGATCATGAGTGTTATCCCGAGCGTGGTGTGTCCCACTGAGCCCAGCATCGCCTCGATGCGGCTGTAAACCCAACCGATGACGTTCATGTTGACCGTGCTGCCCTGAACACACAGAGAGCCTCACATTCACAGCAAATCAACATGTGCACTAATTATTGCTATTTGCCACAAACATACACTACTGTTCAAAAGTGTGGGCTCAGTAAGATTAATACTTTTATTCAGCGAGGATGCAATAAATTGATCGAAAGTGACAGTAAAGACATGTATAATGTTACAAAAGATTTCTATTTCAAATAAATTCTGCTCTTTTGAACTTTCTATTCATCAAAGAATCAACTTTTAACTGTTTTCTGTCTTCAACATTGATAATAATCAGACATGTTTCTTGAGCAATATATTAAAATGATTTCTGAAGGATCATGTGACACTGAAGACGGGAGTAATGATGCTGAAAATTCAGCTTTGATCACAGAAATAGATTACATTTTACAATATATTCACATAGAAAACAGCTGTTTTAAATTGTAATAATATTTCAGTGTTTTTACTTTATCAGGGTTCGTACAGAAACTGCAAAATGCAATTCCAGGACTTACATGGACTTTTCAAGCAATACTTTTTGGTTTTCAAGGACTAAAATCAGAGATCACAATATCGTTATTATCTTTCAAATTCTAATAAATAAACTAATAAAACTAAATGGTACAAATAACATGCAAAGCATGCAATGACTGTGGCAACTTTAACATTTGAAAGGATACTATGGCAAAGATGTTGCTTTCCTTATTCAAAGTGATTTTTTTTCATGAATATATGATTAAAAGCTTCATCGTACACTTGTAAAGTCATGAGCTATATCATGTTCATGGACACTAGGGGTGTGACAATACACTTAGCTCACGAGATGAGGCAAAATACAGATACTTGGTTCACTAGACCGAGACTATATTTTAATATTATTTTAAGAAATTTTCAATGCCAAAATATTTGTCTTTTAATTAGACAACGCTGAGCTCCACAAAACAACGTAGTTGTGTTTTGAAATATTTTAACTAATCTAGAGCCGTAACTAACAATTATTTTGGTAATCAAGTAATCTACTGATTATCTTGACAAGTGAGTAATCTGATGTTTTTTAGTGATAAAAATAGACCTAAGTGAAAAACAGGCTTTAGTATGACTACATATATATATATATACAGTATAACGAACAATGAGGCAATAATAATTGGTTCAAATAAAGTATCAAAACCAAGTAGTCATATGGCTTTAATTGAACAACACTGTTAAAATACATAAAGTAATGTGCCTATACATAATATGAACATAACTGACTTATGTACATTAAGTATTATAACAAATACCTGCAGAGGGCGCCAATGGCCCGGAGATGATTCAGTTTACAGCGTGATTCAAAGACGTTTAAATCATTTTAATATTTGGTCACATTGCTCACACAGACACAGACACAGACACAGACACAACACACACACACAGTTGATCTCTTACCACTCTGGCCATGCTGAGCTGTAGGCCGAACACCAGATTGAGTTCTTTTCCTTTGAACCAGTTCACCGCATACGTGTTCTGAGCCACAGCCAGCGACTCTCCGCCAATACTGAACAGATCACTCGTGTTCACACACAGCCAAAGAAACATGAAATGCATTTTAATCAGTAGACGCTGCTCACCCAAACACAAAACGGCCCAGATTCATCAGCCAGAAGTGATTGGCCAGAGCTCCAGCAGCAAATATGATCTGCAAAACAAGTCATGATCATGATGATTATGTAGGGCCTCTGCAAACAGACACAAATGAACGATTGAATCTCCGCATTCCACCGAAAAAACTAAAGATTCTCCTCCCCAGCTATCTGCGGTCGTAAAGAAGATCAATGATCAACAGGGTACCAAATTGTCTGTACCTGCTTCCGGTCAAGGCATGGTCTTTATCCCTTAGGGGGATCGGAACTGCTTAAGCCCTAACTCAATCACCAGGAGAGAAGAAAATTCCCTCTGTCTGAAGACCCTTCGAGGACCAGATGTGCAGTGTAACGTTGACCGGCTTCAGCATAAATAAACCATCTAATAAACAACAGAACAAAGAACATGGTAGCTCCATGTCCGAGTGAGAAGAATGGCAGATCTACACCCGTGACATGGTCATGACCTCGGGACATCTCCCGTTTCTCCCTGCATTCCAAAAGGGACGCACCCTTTTCTCTCTTCGGTCAGACAAAGGGACATAAAACTTACAACAGACAATTTCAAAAGACAATCATTTAAGTATAAAAGGGCAACCTATATTCACAAATAATATGTTGTATGCATTATATATGCTTGAGGTGTTAAAATGTAACCTTGCAACTTTAATCAATGTGTTTAACCCCTTTTAGCAGATAAAGCTATTGATATGTTAAGTTTAGTGTTGAATGAAAGCTTGCTTTACTCGCCGAACATTGGCGTGAATGAAAAATTGGTATCCGGCATCATTTTCTGGTGATAATATTGTTTATAAGAAGTTATTAAAACTTGCAGAAATACTCCCCACGGGAAACATGTGACCCATGCCTAATCAGGGAACAGTGCGGGGCGTAGCTAAGCCTTGCAAGTAATGTCTGATTGGAACAACGATCTGGGGACCGGACTTATGCAGCGGATCAAAACTCAATGCAAAACGGATTCAACCGCTTTTTCGCCTTTCGCCTCTTCGCCTTTGTGTTAAGCGCGCTCCAACTTGCGCTCACAAGCGGCACCATCAAACGATCGGTCTAATCCGGAGCTCCGGGACTCCCTCGGGCAACGAGGAAAACCCCTCCGCTTCTCAGCGGTCACAAACGAACAGTACCGAACAAGGTCTTCTATCTGTTGAAATCGGTGCTAAACTAATTAAGCAATAAACGTAAGATAAATCTCTGCTTTGTGATTCTCTCAGGTTGAATTTTAAGAACTCGTGAAAAACGAGTGTTAGAACTTTGGGAACTTCATGCAAACTCCGTTAACTCTCATTCTTCAGAACTGTATGTGTGTGTGTGTGTGTGTGTGTGTGTGTGTGTGTGTATGTGCTTGAAGAAATCAACATCGAATCTTTAAGAATCGATTCCTCTCAAAACCTGAGCTAAAATAATAATAATTAATTTCATTATAAAAATAAATGAGTTAATTTCTTACAATTAGTATCACCACTGGAGGGAAGCTTGTTTCCAACACAGAATAAAACACAAGGAATTATCAGTTTACATATTGCAATTCTATTTTTTCCCCAACATGAAAAAAAAATAATACAGGTAATCATACATTCTTCTTAGAATTCTGAGTTTCTGTCTCACAATTTATGTTTGTTTGCTTGCTTGTTTCCAAGGAAACTGCAATTTTTTACCTCTCAATTCTGACTTCTTTACTTGCAATTCTGATTTTTTTCCTCTATATCACACAATTTTGACTTTTTTTCCCTTGTATTAGCTGTATCTTGTTTTTTTTTTTTTTTCAAGTTTATATCTTGCAATTGCACACTGTAAATAATACAATAATTGCGAGTTTACATCACACAATTCTGACACTTTTTTAATGGAATTCTGAGTTTACATCTTGAAATTCTGTTTTGTTGTTTGTTGTTTTTGTTTCCACCATGCAATAAAATAATAATTAAGGTGATTGTGATTTTATTTGATCTCGCAATTCTGACTTTTATCCTTTTTTACATCTTGCTGTTCCCTTTTTTCTGCCGATAAATTAAAATAAAATTAAGTCATGATCTATTTATTGTGAGTTCACATAATACATTTTTTTTTTCTGAATTTGAAATTTATATCACACAATTCTGACTTTTTTTCTCATAATTGCTAGTTTATATCTCATTTATAAAATAAGGAACTGCGACTGTCACAATTCTGAAAAAAAGTGAGAATTACAACAAAAAAGTTGCAATTACCTTTTTTTTTAATTATCATCCTGTGGTGGAAACAAGCTTCCATAGCACTGATTATGACACTGCTGTGTGTAATAACCTACCTGCCCTATTAACACAAACGATGCGAAGATGATCGTCCCCAGTCTGGAAAGAACAAAAGACCGTGTTATGACCATCAGCTCAGTGAACACACTTTACTAAAGCAAGCATGTGCTGTAAAAGAGTCAGCGCATTATACTGTTACAGTCCAGACATGAACAAACATCTTGCACTATTCACTGCATCGATCAGTTTGGAAAACAGTAGTGCAGTCACTTACTGTATATATGAACCTGTTCTTCATGTCTTTGCTCAAATGTGATTTAAATGTGTGTTGAACTGGACCCACCTGATGCCAAAGACCCGGTCCAACAGAAAGCCTCCCAGGAAGCACAGCACGACATTAGGCCATGAGTACCAGGCATACAGCTGCATGAAGGAGGCCGTGTTCAGACTCATGTCCTGAGACACACAGATCAAACATATCCAGATCAGCTCATGACCGCAGGAAATCAATTACATTTAAACACACGCCATATGTCTCCCTGCAGCACAAAAGCAGTGTTAAGTCGCTGGGGTATGTTTGTAGCAATAGCCAACAATACATTGTATGGCTCAAAATTATCCATTTTTCTTTTATTCCAAAAATCATTAGGATATTAAGTAAAGATCATGTTCCATGAAGATATTTTGTACATTTCCTACCGTAAATATATCAAAACTTCATTTTTGATTAGTAATATGCATTGCTAAGAACTTCATTTGGACAACTTTAAAGATGATTTTCTCAATATTTAGATTTTTTGCACCCTCAGATTCCAGATTTTCAAATAGTTGTATCTCAGCCAAATATTGTCCTCTCCTAACAAACCATACATCAATGGAAAGCATGTCAAGAACTATATATATATGAACCTGCCTATCTCTACTCGATCAGTCCTTAGCCATTATAAAAATAAAAAACATTTGCAAGCACCTGACCACTTAATGCTAGCACTTACCTATTCTATTCGTTTTGGTCTAATTTATTAATTTATTAAAAAAGAAAAAAAGAAAAAAAACTTGCAATGTATACTGTTTTAGACTATAACTGAGATGGATGGATGGATGGATGGATGGATAGATAGATAGATAGATATATAGATAGATGGATAGACGGATAGACGGATAGATATATGGATGGATGGATGGAACGGATAGACAGATAGACAGATAGATAGATAGATATATAGATGGATGGACGGATGGACGGATGGACAGATGGATAGATGGATGGACGGATAGACATATAGACGGATAGACGGATAGACAGATAGACAGATAGACATATAGACGGATAGACGGATAGACAGATAGACAGATAGACATATAGACGGATAGACGGATAGACAGATAGACGGATATATGGATATATGGATGGACGGACGGACGGACGGACGGATAGACAGATAGACAGATAGACAGATATATAGATATATGGATGGACGGACGGACGGACGGACGGACGGACGGACGGACGGACGGACGGACGGACAGATAGATAGATAGATAGATAGATAGATAGATGGATAGACGGATAGACAGATAGATAGATAGCTAGATAGATAGATGGATAGATGGACAGATGGACGGACGGACGGACGGACGGACGGATGGATGGATGGATAGATAGATAGATGATAGACAGACAGACAGATAGATAGATAGATGATAGAGATGGACGGACGGACGGACGGACGGACGGATGGATGGATGGATAGATAGATAGATAGATAGATAGATAGATAGATAGATAGACACACACCTGTATGACTTGAGTCTGAAGAGCTGCGGGGTTGTCATAACAAAAGTAGCTGCCTAAAATAAAACCAAACAAAACAAAATGAGCAGAAAAAAAAACAGCAAGAGCACAATGGTAAATTAAGACGGGAAGTTTCACTTTCACTGAAATCTGACACCACTGAGCCTAAACTCACAGAACACTCCTTTTGATGTGAATATAACGCTATATGAATGTTTTTCACATTTCTAAAAAATGCTAGACTCTATCGCGTGAATATAAGGCTATACTGCATGATCGAGCTGGTCTCGTGACTCATGAGGAAGACGGTACCGAAGCCCAGGAAGCACATGAAGAACAGAACCAGGATCCGGTGCAGCAGGTGAGTCGGGTCACACAGCGGGCTCAGGTGCCGCGACACCCCTTCATCCTCCTCATCTTCATCCAGCAGACCCTCATACTCCTCTCGCTCCGCCATGCTCACGGCTCGCGGTCATGTGACAGCGCTGCGGCGAGTCACGTGATCAGGAGGAAGAAAACAGTCAAATAAGTCTAAAAAAACAAAGACAATTTTGTGAGAAAAATAAAAGGAAAGAAATACACTACAGGGTACAGGAAATAGCTTGCAATCAATTTTAAAACTTACTACAAAAACAAGGTTTGAGAGTTTTGGATTGAATGAATATTTAGGATGACAACATCTAAACTGAACAAATACATTTACATCATAAATTACTTTAAACTAGAATACTGCTTACATTGTTAAATGAAGAACTAGGGAATGGATCGTGTATTCTGTTTGTAATTTAGAAGAACCGTCCGAACGAAGTGAATCACTAGAATGAATCAAACTACAGAGAATACCGTTAGGACGAACCGATTCACTAGAACGAATCGAATCTTTCAAAGCTAAATACGGGGGAAAAGAAATAATGTTCTTTTTAGCAACATCATATGACCCCTTTAATATCAGCAACTGTTAAGCTTCATCGCTAAGCGCTGAAAAAAAGTAGTATCAGTGTATCAGCTTTAATGCACTCATAAAAATAACCAAAGCAGTCAAATGGCAAGCGTTTCAAAGAAGACATAATTATTCAAAGTGTATAACTTACAATGTGCAAAGGAGTCTGTTTGGATGCAGTAAAACAACACGTCTGGATCACTGGCCATAACTCTGAATAATTTCTTATTCTGGCCATAAATCAGGAAAGTCATGCATGTTTAGAATTGATCAAATAGTTGTAATCTGGCTCAAATGAAGACAGGAATCGTGTGTTTGTGGTACCCGTGTTTTTCTGTTGATTAAGGAATAATGCAAGACTTCTTCACCTTACAAATGGTTGTCAAAAGCAAATACATCATATTGTATAGGCTACCATATATCATATAATCGAGTGCTCAAGCAAAACAAGACGCTCTATAGAATTCAGCAGATGTAATACTCAAGCAAAAATGCAGGTACTAAGTAAAAGTAAAAAAAAGTGCAGCTTTAAATTGTACTTAAGTGCTAAAAATGTAAAAAAAAAAACATAAAAATGACTGGTGATTCTTGTTTACATTTTTTAAATCATCTTGCCAATGCAAAGTGAATTAAACTGCATAAACTGTTTTGTCAGACAGATATACAAAGGTTTGGTTAAAGAGGGAATACTAAACAATGCAGAGGGTAAGATGTCAAAAACATCCAGCTAGTGCAACAACTATTAAAGTGGAACACAAAAATGCATTATTAGTTTAATAAAATAATAAATAAAATAATTCAAATCTATTTTTTATTATTAGTTATTATGGTGGAACACAAAAAGCACATCTTTAAAGGGATAGAAACAAAATTCTGTCATCATTTTCGCTCCCTGATGTTGTTTCTTTCTTCTGTTGAACACATTGGAGACATTTTGAAGGATGTTGGTAACCAACAGTTGCTGGACCCCAATGGACTTTCATAGTATTTATTTGTTTGTTTGTTCATTCATTCATTCCATTCTATTTAAGTCAATGAAAGAGCCATTTAGTGGTTTTGTCCCATGAGAAGTCCATCACTACCAGCTTACACATGGGTGAATTGGTTAGGACATATCTAGAAAATATGAGACTGAATTTATAGATGTATCATGAAGTAGTATTCCCTCAAAATCTGCTAAAATGCATTCAGATTTTCAATACACTCCATTCTGTGTGATTTATAAGCGTTTTGAAAAGTGGGGACATGGGGTAATGTCCTGAAAAGTCACCTTCTCCTTGTAATACCCAAATATGTCTACAAAAACAAAGACAATTTTGTGAGAAAAATAAAAGGAAAGAAATACACTACAGGGTACAGGAAATAGCTTGCAATGAATTTTAAAACTTACTACAAAAACAAGGTTTGAGAGTTTTGGATTGAATGAATATTTAGGATGACAACATCTAAACTGAACAAATACATTTACATCATAAATTACTTTAAACTAGAATACTGCTTACATTGTTAAATGAAGAACTAGGGAATGGATCGTGTATTCTGTTTGTAATTTAGAAGAACCGTCCGAACGAAGTGATTCACTAGAATGAATCAAACTACAGAGAATACCGTTAGGACGAACCGATTCACTAGAACGAATCGAATCTTTCAAAGCTAAATACGGGGGAAAAGAGGAGTTTTTAAGACGAACCGATTTGATTTAGGATTTAGCAGCGCTGTACGAGAGAGAGTCGACTGTGTGGTTGGTTGATTTGCTCCGCTGGTTCTGCTGTAAGGTAATACAAATAAAGAGATATTAAAGGGGTCATATGATGCGATTTCAATTGTTCCTTTCTCTTTGGAGTGTTACAAGCTCTTGGTGCATAAAGAAGATCTGTAAAGTTGCAAAAACTGAAGTCTCAAATTCAAAGAGATATTCTTTATAAAAGTTAAGAGTCAGCCACACCTACCTAAAACGGCTCGCTCTAACACACCCCCACATACCTAGGTCACTGCGTGGGAAGATTTGCATAACACCGCCCAAATGTTCACGCAAAGAAAGAAGGCGTAACTTTTATTCTCGCTGTA